CAACTTCACCAGCTCTTGGAGTTTGTATTTTATAGTTATGTATTGTAAATATGATGCTACCAAATATTGAATACTGAGAGGAGGTGAGTGAGTAAAAAAGTATCAGCATGATACTTTTGAGTGAGACTTTTGTTGTGAAAACTTGCATCACTGTTCCAGTTATTATTGAATTTCATTATTCAGCTTGTGTGTATATAGTATTTGTATGCACATATATATCATATTATACTAATATTGTAAAGCTAGACTTTCATAAGTTTTTGAATGTCAGAAAACTATTTTGAAGGCTTTGAAGTGTTCTTTATCAAAACTGCTGGCTCTGATTGCATTGGTTAATAACTAGCAGTATATTCAGTAATTTTGCAGAGGCTGTTTAGAAGTGATACTCTAAAAAAAAAAAGAAAAATATTCTTGAGATTCAGATGGTTGCTACAGTGAAACTTTGCCGTTGAAGCTGTAAAACAGAACATGTAAATATGAAACTTATTTATGACAATTTCTTAACAGCCCATCGAACAGCTTTATATAATTTCTTTTGGCCCGTGCACATCTCTCCAACTCTTCTCCTTCCCCCGGGCAGAAAGCAGCTTCTGCAAAGAGTGTTCTTTTTCCTACGATTTGGATTTGCTCACTTTTGAAACTTTTTCCAGTTAAAAACTTGGAATGTCTCTAGATTAGATCTTCCTATGATACTTTCTCACACCACAGAGGACTGTGCCCCAATATACAGAACAGGAGGGATGTTTACCTGTCCTCCTTCAGAGCCATGGACCGAGCTGAGCCTTGTTCTCAAGGGTCCTACCATGAATGTTGGAAGTATTTGTGTAATTTGTTTTGCATTAATAATCTAGACTATTAAACTGCAGAATGCAGCTTTCTACACAGTTGCTCATACTTTTAGGTAGAGGCACGAAACCCTATCTATTTCAGTATAAAGCTTGATTTTTATTGCTGTGTGTAGGCACTGTTACTGTGAAATGCACTGCTGATATGGTCATGGTTTAATAAATAAGCTACAGCAATTGTAACTGAAGCTAATTGCAAAGAGAAATGCATGGTACAGTTGTTCTCCGGTGCACCCATGCAAATTCTCATCCTAACTGGGCGTGGGTCTGCACCCAGTGGTAGGGGCGATATGGTTTTGGCTTTGTATGTGCTTAAGTCATTGTTTTTGAGGCCCTGGTTTAAACTCCTGTCAAGTTCCTCAGCCTAATGAGTGCTATTAACTCAAAAACCCTGAAAACTTAGAGCTAGCACTTGGCATAAGGATTTAGGTGGTATTTAATCCATATAAATTACGTGCCTGAGTCTTTGTTTCCTCAGTGTTAGAAAAAAAGCATGAAATTAGAAATATGCTCAGTATTTATTTCCTTTTCCCTAAAGTTATTATGTGCCGTTTTGAAGAGTGACTTGGTTGTAGTAAAGCAGAGCACCTGAAGATTAAAAAATGTGTACATTAGTAAATAAGTCCCAGTCTAAAAATTATACACAAAGCTATATATTTCTAGTCTGTATATTTTTGACCCAAAAGATACTAAAGGGTTGTTGCTTTTTTATTTTGTTGAAAAAATGTTACCTATGACAATAAATATCTTCTTCAGAGGGGCTATAGATCTCTGGTTTTTCCTTAAGGCCTCAGATCGTTTTTCAGATTCTGGTGGAAGAGTGTGTTGGAAAGGGAGTACGAGCCATAAACTGTAAAAACCTTTCTCCTGGATCCTTTATTTGTTAGTTGTTAGTGCAGCAAAGTGCACTAGCATGTAGGCACAGCCATATTAGTTCTATTCAGCGATCCCAGCTTTAACAGAGCTGAGTTCAGAGGTCTTCCATTATATGTACATTTTGGTTTCCCATTTCTTTCACCAACGGGGATGCTTGAAGAGTCTGTTTTTTTGAGCAGCCCAGCCCAGTGGCTTTATAACCAGCAAGGTCGTGTAAGAATGATAGACTGTCTCTGTGGACCAAACAATGTCCTTGTCAGCAGAGTTGTGGCTGTAAATTGCAGTAAAGTGCTGCAGGTTTTGAGTCTCGGAGAAAAGGAGGCAGGCAGACTTAATGTCACCTTTCCAGGCGCGCTTGCATTATGTAGCTGTGCTTTTAGTAAGGCTGACACTTTTACACTTTCAAAGGCCCTTGTCATAACTGAACTGGCATTTTAAGTGGTTAGCTCTTTCAGAAGGAAAGTTTTGGGAAAAAATGTTTTGTGTTGATTAAGTTAAACCCAAGCCTGTTTAAGCTAGGATGTCAGTTGTGTGCTTCAGGAAAGTATTTTGAAATTTGCAGGGTGGTCATCCTGGTGGCGTGTGCCTTTTGTTGCTATTCCCGGTAAGCCTGGTAAGTTCACCACGTCTGTGCTGCACTGAAGGTTTACTAGGGGCTTAGCATCACCCATCTACAGGTACTTTGTCAGCATTGACCTTGCTTCAGACGAGGGCTGGAGAAGTGGAGCATGACTTTCTCTGCAAATAACCACAACTTCCCAGGGAATATATGGTGCAAGGCAGCCAAGCTGAGCTTTTTCCGTGTTTATCATCCTCTAGCTGCTGAGGCAGCTTGGAAAAAGAAGAAACCTAGTAAAAGCTGATGGATGAGGAAGCAAATAAATTAGAGTCTGGACAGGAACATAAAAACAGCTGAGAGCTGGGACAGGGGCAGTAGAGAGAGATAGGGAGAATTTAGATAAGAGGAAAGGAGAGAGAAAAAGCAATAAATACAAGCAGAAAGGAGAAGAATGAAATGAGAGGAGGGAAGAAGAAGGAGGGCTGTGCGTGATGAGATTGATTATCTCTGTCCATCCCTTTTCCTCCTTGGGAAGCTGGAATTGAATACTGATTGAATACTGATGGACCAAACTTGTGTGGTTCGGTGTGAAAAAAAATCTGCTCTTTTCATTCGGCCTCTTAAAAAAATAGTAATAATCACATCTACACAGTTCAAACACTTGCTAAGTCAGGAACTCTCTCAGTTAGGAACTAATATGTGAAGAGTGCCTGGGTAACATTAGTCGAAGTCAGAGAAGTGGGCTGTGATACATGTGCTTTATGCAGGAACCCTTCCTCTTACAATGCACCTAGTGGGAGAGTGCAGAGGTGACAGGAGATGTGGTGTATCTGGGGGTTGTAGTTTGTAAAGCCCCTGTTCATCTTCCTGCAAGAGATCAAGCTGTGGCGCAAGGGTACAGGAAAGGAATGGATTATTCCCAGCTTAGGGCAACAGAAAGCCCCATGAGTGTTCTGGTGTGTTGGTGCACAGGCAGCTTTGCCAGCCTTTCCAAGCAGCTTTGTCGTCTGGTTGAAAGGTCTGAAGTATGATTTACAGAAACAAATAGGTGCTCACTCTTTTAATAATAACTTTGATTTTTTACTGTCATTTTTAGAGACAATATAAAAATCAAATTAGCATGTTTTAATAGTGTCCATGCCTGAACAACTTTAAAATTACTTATTCATGCATTCCATCTTCTGGTTATGCAGTTCACCTTATGTATAATAGGCTATAAAAATTGCTACAAGATACAATTTTTATTTAAAATGTTCTTCCTGCGTATGCTGAGTGTTCTTTAGTTGGATTGGGATTTTTAGCAAGAGAAACTTCCCATCCCAAAGTCATGTGTACAGGAAGAAAGGTATGTGCTAAGATGGCTTGGCAGATAAGACTTATCTTTGGGCTATGACCTCATGGTCCTATGTTCCATGTGTGGGCAGTCTCTTGTCATTACTGATTCTGGAATGGGCAACTGAATTTTAAGTACACAAAACTGGATCACTTTACATATTTGTCTAGTGGGGATACTTAAGATTTCATATTTCTCAAGAAGGGTGGGAAATGACCTAAGGTTTAACTGCATTATTTGAAAAGTAATAGTCTTCTGGGGGCATGGTTGTGTTGAGGAACTGTGCCGTAGCTGCTGCTGTATTTTAGCCTAGGTAGACACTGAATTAGCATGCCTGGTTTGATAATGAGGTACTTCATTTGACTTAAATAAGGAATGAAAATCTTTTCTCAAGTTTCTTACAGTGGATTGACTATTTACTAATGTTTGAATGAGGAAGGCACAACAAAAGAAAGAAAATATTCCCTCCAATACTGAACACTGTAGACGCATTAAGAATAATATAAAATGAGAAAATAAATCTTTTATAAATTCAGAAGTATGAATTGATTCTCTTTTTTTTTTTTTTAATATAATTTAAGAAGATGGAGTACTCCATCCATAAAGATGGAGTCCTGCTATTGGGAATTTGGATCCAAATTTCCGTTACAGTACGCAAGTCAAAAAAGAAACCAGTATTCCTTGGGCAATGGCCAGATATCCCGTCTCATGTTTGGACAAATCTCAGAAGAGCTAAATTTAGAGAGAATTAGCTCTGAGAATAGGGGCACATGACAGCGACTATTCCTATGACTTGCATGGAGCCTCTGTCATTGGCAGGAGCTTTGACAGTGGTAGTGACCACTGACACTTTCAGTGTACATGCAAGAAATAAATTCCAAGAGACTGGTGGTGGTGCAAATTCATATGCAAGGTTATTTGGGGCTAACTTTTCATCGTTGACTTCTGAGATTTGGTAGGCCCCTTCAATAGAGGAGCCTTTCTCATCACCTAAGAGTGACATAGAACTGCATTGATTGATGTTATTAGGACCTAATGAGGCACTACTTAGAAATGACTCATCAGTTCCTGTATTTTGACATGTAAGAATCGAGTTGCAGAAATACTGAAGCACTGTAATCATGTGTCATTATAGATCTTGCCATCTGATGAATGTTAATTTTTTCACTGCTTCAGAGAGTCTAAAAATGCAAATATGGCAAAATACAAAAGTGACTGAGAAAATTATTTGTACTTGATATATTTAATTGTTAGCTAGAGGATATTTTCAATAAAATGTTCAACATCAAAACAGCGTAAAATTACTTTTTCAGAAATCTGTTATTTAATTCTGTAGCTACTTTTAGCAAAGAAATTAATTGCATATCTATGTTTTTAATTTGTAGGTACATTGAAACCTTAAAGGAGCACAAACCAAAAGTTATCTGGGATGAGCAAATTGCTGAACACTACTTCGAATACAAAAAGTAAGTTAAAGCTATTTACGTACTTTCCTGCAAATATTCACAGGCATAGTCCAGTATGCAATGAATTACCAGTTAGCTTGCTAGCTCATCTTAAATCTGCAGAGTGTGTCTTAAAAATTTGAAGTTTGTACTGTGGGCAGCAGCCTAACCAAAACTAGTTCTTATAGGAGATTGTGGAATGAGAGCCTGGTTTTAGAACTCCTGGTGAGCAGGCTGACCAGGGAACAAACTCATACCAAGTCAAATGAACTATAGAAAAAGGTAATAGCAGTGATATCAAGGGACATTCAGGTGGAGTAATTAAAAAGCCTAGAAATGGTTTCTTTAGAAGGAGCCTGAAGACAAAGAGTAGTAGTTTTCTCTGACCCATCTTTCTCATAATGAAATGTCAGTAGGCTTCCTAAGGATAAGCAAATTCCAACTTCAACATATTTTAAGTAAGCAACAAATGCTTATCAAGCCTCTGTAACTGTTCACTATCCTTGTGTGCCATCTCATTTTGGTAACATACTTTTAAACTTAAAAAAAAAACAAGCTTAAAACTTGAACCACCTTTATATCTTAAATATAATTTTCCATAGTGTTCTCAATTTGCAGTTTTTCTCTGGGCTTTTAGACTTCTCAGCTGTGTATATTCCTTCTCAGGAAAAATTGTTTACGTGTATGCTGGCAGTATTTATTTTTCTAATAATTGCGTAGAAGAACTGTTCTTTCATTTTGAGTTCTTTGGTATCCTGTTTTGAAATTATTTTGTCTGTCAAAAATCTATAAAGTATTTGTCTTGACTAAAAAGGAATAAATTGGAAGTGTTGTTTCACTGATCTTCAATGAAAAATCTGACTGGAGGCACAGTGGCCAATGGATGAAAGCTTGCACTCAGAAAAGTGAATCAAAGGGCACAGTATTTGAATGGCCAGCATCTGGGATTCGCTCCTCAAACATATTTCCTAAATGTTTCCTTGCAACCTGAACATGCAGGAAAGTGAAGACCTGTCAGTACTGCATTGTTGGCCTTTGAAAGGCAATCTTTGGAAATTCTTATTTGTGGACTTTCCGGAAGAGGCTTTGGTGCATGAAATATACTGGATCTGAAAATGAGTCTAAATGTCATTTGGTGGGTTGTGCCTGGCGGCAGCCCTGCAGCTCAGCGGGTCTGCAGTGGGGCAGCTGGCTGCAGAAGAGGACTACGTGAGTGATCTTGTCTCCAGTCACCACTTCTGTGTTGCATTGAATGTCAGTGGCAGCCAGGCCTGAAGTATGTTTCACAAGTGAAGCATCTCACCTGAAAGTCTTGCATGGTTGCAGTTGCCAAGTAATAAAATTCAAAATCTTTAAGCAAAGCACAACTAAAGCTTTTCATGTAGTACTCAACCAAAGGCTGCCATTCGAAAGAGCTGTAGAAAGCTGTTGCCTCTGAGTGCTTGGCCCTGTGCACTTTCCACTTAACAGTGGGCGTTAAATTAAGCAATTTTTTACCAGCAGTATCTGCTTGATGTGTTCATGCACTCTGCATTTCTTCCTGCCCTAAGTGGTGAAGTGGTGCTGTGGGACTACATGTTTCCTGACGTCTCTTTACTAGTAGTTAAAAATACAGCAAAAGGATTCATGCTTAGGGTAGCTTGCCTTATCTTTGCCTTATATACTAGCAGCATTTAGTTTAACATAAAAGATGCTAATTGCTGGAATTTGGGAAAATCTTTGCCAGTTTGCACCTGACACCCAAACATTTTTATCCTTTTCAGATGTGCCTTTAGAAGGTACAATTGTCCTCTGATATGAGAGTTTTATAAATAATGTTACACGACAACAGGCTATCTCAGTGCATTTACTTGCATCTAATATCAAACCACCCCTCTCTCAAAAAAGGTGCTTTTTGAGTTTATACCCTGTAGGAACATCTATTTTAGCTATCAGCCTTTTCGCTTCCCTTAAAAGCTGTCTTCCTTACTACTAACTAATAATTGTATTCCCCCTATTTAACATGTAGCTTGTTATGACTAGTTCTTTCTCGGATGGAATGTTATGCCTGTAGAAATTTGGGATTTTGTGCTAATCAACAATTACTTTTCAGTACTTTGTGTTAGCTGTTAAGAAGCTGAGGAGAGTGTGCCACTTCTTAGATGTTTTGAACGGCCTTATCCTGAAACCTTTCAAGGAATTTCCCTAGATAACCAGAGCTGTTTTTCTTTTCTGTTTCTGCGGCTTGAATATGACATGATGCAGTTTTTGCACAAACACTCCTCAAAACAGATCTCTGGTGGTACTTAGTCTTCTGTGTAACTTTCTAGCGCTAGTCCTGCTAGTGTCATCAAAGTTCACTGAAGTCAGGAGAAATCATCCTGGAAACCTTTCTGACAAATATTCCTAGAGCAAATACCTGTAGGACAGTTCTAAGGCTGCATATTTCTCAGACACCTTGTGCAGGTGTAACTTCCCCTACTTGCCTTCTTTTCCTTTCCACTTCGTATTTGTGTGTTTGTATCTTCAGTAGAGCAGGGGCAGGAATAGAAGTTTTTACCTGCAGTAGAAAAAGACGAGAAGCAGAGATGATTTTGGCTTCACCCCCTGTAACTAGAAGCTTATGACTAGAGTGCAAGTATGCACCCAGTGGACACTGATGGTGAAAGTGTCTGATACTGGAGCCAGAGTCCATCTCAGAATGACTACTAGGTAAGAAATCTCAGATATACCAGTTACCAAATAGTAAGTATTCTCTGTCTTTGATATAGACATAGTAAGTCCCTTCTGCTGAATGTACCAGTATGTCTTATTTTTAATAGTAGTAGCTCTTTCAGAATAAAATCAGTAGTTTTCTCCAGCATTGTCTACCTTTGTTTCCTATTTATGGGAAGGAATAAAACTACCTTTGAACTCTAACATAAGCTACGAATCTTACGGAAATCTACCTAACCTGTGATTGTGATCATTTAATTTTTGTGCTTTGCAGAAATAAAGGAGGAAAACATGCTGTCTTCTATCCAACGTTGAAGGTAGGGACCCCTTCTTCTGCTCAGACAATAGGAAAAAGTTGTTTCCTTGACATTTGTTGGGTTATTGAAATACGTTGCAAAATGCTGTGCAGAGGATTGTGCTTTTGTAAAAGAAGTTCACACTAACATACTTATTATGATTCAAGACTTCAGCTGCTTGCCTGTATGACAAGCTTAGTTTTTCTGTCTAATGCATGATTGGGTTTGGGGGCATCACTGAAGCTTAGGCATGTTTAGAGAGAATACACTTATGGATGAACCAGTGTTCTGAGAGGATCCATTCGAGTGCCTAGTTTAGGTGTGCACAGACATCTGATTCTCAGAGAAGAGACATGGAAGAAAATTTCCCTCTTAACATGTTGACTGGAAGCCTGAGGGAGTTTTTGCATTCCTCTGTAGGAGGGTCATTTTTCATACTGTAGCCCTGAATCACCCTGTTTTTTTTCAGAGAACATTCTTTAAGGTTTTGAAAACTGAAATGTTTGGCCTTATTATAAACCTCTGGTGGGGCATATGATTTTGGTCCTCGCAATAATCTGCAATATGCCAGGATGTGTGATACAATGGTCCTTTCAGCCTTGCTAGGAAGCTCTCTTAAATTTCCTTATATTAACCTAAAGGCAGTATCTTAAGCCTCTGGTGGCTTTTAATATTGAAGAGAAACAATTTCTGTAATGAAAGTATATCATGTTTAGAGAGAGCAGAGATCTTTTATGGTTAAACTAGTGTGAAATTATCAAAATTTCCCTTTTCCTAAATGCAAATATCCCTCTAAATTTCATTTGGATGAAGCTACTTTCCTCACTAATCTGATATCAGTGGATATACTAACATATATGGGCTATTAATTACTGCGCCTAACTATATTCTTGCTGGTTTCATTCCTGGGGGATTGAAAAGCATCAATACAAGAGAGAAAAGATCAATTGTTCTGAATATGCCAGGCCACATGCCCTTTGATCACGTTGAATGGTTTCACCAGTTTATTATCAGCACTAGCTGGGTTAATTAAGTAAACTAATTAAATAATATTTGTTCCTTAGTGTTTTTTAAAAAATAAATCTAATAATAATAATATATACTCAACTGTGGTGTTGGTAAATTTTGTAAATAGAAAAGCTGAATTTCCTTCCAATTCCATTAATTTTAAAATGAAATATTTTACGAGATCTGTATGCTAGAGCAAAGCAAATTGCTTGCATTGAGTTGGTCAGTTGAACACTGAATATTGTTTTATTTTCCCCTCACAAATGTGTTTCTTCCCCTTTTAAATGCTGTCATCAATGGTAGGTTGTCTGCTCGGAACAGACTTGTTCAGGATTAATTAAAAGCAGTTAAGAACTCCAGGCCCAGCACAGCTGTTAATGACATCTTGACACTTGATTCTACATCCTATGGAAATGAGCTTTCAGAGCACCCTTGTGCTGATAGCAGTTCAGACATCTCAGTACCACACAAAGTACTCTCATACTACAAAGTATGACAGCATGAAAATAGGAGGTTCAAAGATATTTTGAATATCTGAACTGTGAGAAGTGCAGAATGTAAATTGTAACGTTATTTCTGTTGTAAACATGTAAATCAATGCTTGTAGCACAGATAAGGATATTTTTCAATGTTAATCTCCCAGAAACTCTTTAAAATGAATCTTTGATGTGAAAATTATGACTCTGTCCTGAGAGAAGGCAATCTAGGTAAGAGACCTTGATGGTATTTGACAAGTTGTTTTAATTGTCTTCAGTGATTTTACCCGTGGGAAACTTCTATAAAGAGCTGAAATTTCTATATGTTGCAAAATGATAGCTTAAATTAGAGTGGTCCTTTGCATAGTTCATAAATCTGATTTATTTCTGTGATATATCATCTGTTTAGATAGCCATTATGTACTAGGTCAGTGAATTAACTAGTGCAATTAACTGCTTTTCACTGAATGACTGCTCAATAAACAGAATATTTGAAACAGAGGTATTACTTTTGAGCATCTGATTTGAGGATAATTATTTTTTAAAAGCCTGATAATGATGTAAAGAAATGGCAGCAGGGAATGTCTAATGTCTCTCATTAAAAGTGGTTGCTTTGTTTGTCTTCGTCCTAGTCCATCCAGCTGCGCTTAGAGCTTGCAAAAGAATTGGGCACTGGGATATCCATCTGGGAGCTGGGACAAGGCCTGGATTATTTTTATGACCTGCTTTAAATCGGAGATGGTCTGCAAAAGACTTTATTTGCTTCACCAAGACTCTGCCTTCAATTAATTTGGGTATTCTGGGCAGGTGATTTTTTAATAATTAGAACTTTTTTTTGTAATTTATATCATATGTGTATTAAACTTCTCTTTTTTCTGCAATAAATTACCTTTTCTGATTTACTATATAAACATGATGGTTAACATCTGATAAAATCCAGAGATAAAACACAGAAGATCTTCTTAAAGTTGCTGAATTTGCAGTCATTGAAAATGGAACAGCACAAGTAGGATGGCATGGGAGCAGAATTCAGAGGGTTTTTTTTTTTTTTGAATATTTTGTACAAAAAATTACCGAGAAGTTACTACAATCTGAACACAGTTTAATTCTGAGGTCTCTTGAAACAATTCCTGGTAACTGAACAAATACGCTCATCAGATTATGTCCAGCAAATGTAATATATGATGGATTCTCTACATTACTTTAACAACAAAAGACAGAAAGTAAGCCTAAAATAAAGACGGGGGGACCAACTGGATGTCTTTCCTTCTGGCTGGCAGAGAGTTAAATGTGGACAAGCTATGCAGTTAGCTTTGTCCTTTATTTTAATAAATGCCATGTAGTTCAAAATCACAGTAATTTCAATTCATGACTTGTTTCTAATTCCCCTTTTTGCACGCAGGAAGCACCCCATGATTTCTGTCGTGCTTAGTGCCTCAGTTTATAATACTAGTGCATTATGCATTAGTCTGTCATAATGCTAACTTTTAGCACCAGAGGCTGCAGTGGAAATTGTACGTATGCATGTAGTAATGGATTACGTGCATTGTCCCAATGCTCAGAGCCCCAGAGCTGACCACCTTTTGGCTTAAAGGGGTGCTGTGAATCAAAATCTTTCCAAGTAAAGCTCTTATTCATTTACCATACACATTGGCACTTCAACCTCCATAATACACAATTTTTATTAACCGAAAGCTATATCAATCCATGAGCTTATAAACAAAGTTCTCAAACCATTCTGAAATCTTCCCTGTTTTTCACTTTACAAGCTTTGGGCTTGTAGAAATATATGGGCCTCAAAGCAGTTTTTCGGAAGGAACAAGGGGAGATGCTGTGAATTTGATGAGGAAGTTGCTGGTCATCAGCCGAGATGCAGGCAGGCAATAGCTCTGCACACCCTCTGGTCTCTTCTTGCCACTTAAGAGTTGTCACACAGATAACCACACTCCTCTCTTTGTGTCCACACTTTATGGTAATTAATCTCCATGGGGAATTTATCCATCCCAGCCAGTTTCAGCAGACTAAATCCTGCTGTAATCCAGCACTGATTAAAGAACTATTGATCTTCACCTCTCTTTAGTCTGGCATCTCTCAACTTCTCATACTGCAAGTATCCAGCAGGGTTTACTAATCAAGCTTTTTCTTCTGTACCGTTAGTGCTAAGATAATTTGCTATGTGATTCCTCATGTTCAATTAACTTGAGCTTTCTAGTTCATTCGAAAGCAATTTAAAGTCACTCAGGCAATGGTATCTAGACTAGCACAAGAAATAAATTCTATTATGCTATTTCTACTGAACCAGAATGTTTCAGAAAAAAAAAAGGTCAGTAAAAATGCAAGGTTGTGCTCTGAAATTACGTCTGCTTTTATGTCATCTAATAACTAGAAATATAAAAATTGTGAAGTTGGGAGGGGGAGAAAGGGTGTTTCATTTTAGCTTGTTCTTTCCTCTCTAATTTATCCCATGTTTTGAATAATTTTTTTATACTCCATAAGGGTTCTCTATGAAGTTTGGGTGTTATATTTGTCTTTGAGCTCAGCTATATATTAGAATGAAGTGTCTTTTCCATCCTTAGAGATGGAGTGTACACCTCTGTGAAAAAATCAGACTTGCTGTATCATGAAAATAAATACCAGATGATAAGTGCGCTGTGAGTTTGAGCCATCCATGGTACACAAGTTTCTGTTTATTATTCTGTCTATTCTGTTTATTATCTGTTTATAAGATGGTAAGAAAATAATGTGAAATTTTGCCTATCTCAATGAAAGCTTTCTTACAACGGGCACATGCTCTTGTGTTTCACCATACTTCATTTCTTTGGGTTAGACTCAAAAGCAGAGTTCCCATAAATTCCCTTTTCTGCAGGGCATTTATTAAGAGAAAGAAAAAAAAAAAAGATTCTGCTATAGTCAGCCTTTCATATGAAGCTAATATTGCTATTTTCAATTATTATTTCACACATCATTTTAACAGCTTACAAAGCACAGGCTGACTTTTATCAAGACAGAGAAGAGTTATCTCCATACTAGGAAGATCACATTGATTTTACACATGGGATAACAGTACCTTGTGTTATCTCAGCAAGGACACTGATTATCTTAAGAGCAGTTTGAAAACTGGAGCTTACCTAGAATCTTCATAATCACAGTTTTAACAAGAATTTGTGCAATTTAAGCTGTTTACTTTATGTCATTATGAGATGCTGCTTCATTGTGGGAAGTGCCTTCTGCGCCTTATTTTATTGTTCCCTTTTGTAGTCGTACATAAGTATCAAGGTTCAGAAGTAGAGGCCAGAAGATACATCACTATATCTTTTTTGTAGCTTCCAGGTAAGAAAGTTGGGAGTGAGAGAGAAGAGACAAGGTGGAGGGAAGGATGACAATAAAACAAAACAAAACAAAAAAACCCAACAACTTCTTACTACTTTTTAGTTATAAAAAGTTACTGATCAATTGGTAACAATTTAGTGATGTTTATAGGTTTGGGTGAGAACATGGGAGAGGTTTTTCCACTTCTATTGCAAGCTACTCGTGATGGTTTTATGTAGGGGGATAGTATTTTCTGTACACTTCTCTGTGGACACTGCAAAGTTAATAGTTCTTCATGGCAACTGTGATTACAGTTGCTCTGAAATTTGGGAGGTGTCTGATAAACTTCGTTGTTTTGATTAATGCACTGTACAGTTGTTTGCCTTCAGTGAAACACAGGGCAGCACAAAGCAGATAGACTCTTCTTCTGCAGCTTGCAGAGACTCTTCATAGCTCTTTTGCTTATTCCTCAAAATTCCATTTGTCAGTCACCTTTTTTAAGTGGTAAGTGAAAATTAACAGCATTAAAGCATACTGAACAACCTTTTAGCAGGTTCAGCTAAGCGAGAGTGAATGTTTTGTAGTCTACCATGCTCTGTGACATTCTGTATTAGGGGAAAATACTGTCTTTAGAAAAACAAAAATAACTGGAATTGAATTTGATTAACACTATTCAAAAAGTTGCGAAAATAAATTAAACCACTTATATATGTTTTGGCTATGGTATGTCTGTACAACAATTTCATAGAAAAATTTTTCTTTAAAAGCTGCCAATAGAGTAAGCACTTTTGGACTTTAATTTCTAAGATGCCAGAATTAATTCTCCACGTAGACAGCTCAGAGCCGATTGCTCCTTGAGAATCACTTTTATGTGATCATGGTCCTGGATCCATGGAATGGAACATACTTTGATCCATTTGGTGGGTGAGGCTTTAATAAGGTCAGATTTAGCAGTTGCCTGAAGTAGAGAGGTAAAGCATCATATGAATTAGAAAGTTGCTTCTCTTTGAATTCACAGTTGACTGCCCAGATGGCAGAACGTCATCCTGGGATATTACCTTGCTCTTACCTTGTTTAAAAGGAAGATAATGAAGCTCGTGTAAATGTTCAGTGTAGATAAGGAACATATTCACTTTCTGGAGACTTCCTAACTCTCCTCATGTCGTTTACCTGAAATTGTAACAGATATGCAAGTGTTGGTAGAAGGGCACAGGCCCTCCTAGTTTCTAGAATCTCATGTGGTTTTTTGTGTGACTTACTGTAAGATTGCTTACAGATTGCTCCTTCTTTCTATAAATATGGTGGCAGTTTCTTAAACCAGGTCTATCTAATGTTCCTGCTGTGTCATCACTTGCTGTGATGCCCCTGCTACATGTGTGATTGCAGCAGGGATCGTTTGTGTGATGTATCTCACCTTCCTCAAGATCAACATACAGGGAATAGACATGAGAAGACAATAACGTTTCCCAAGTTTCCTCCAATATGTGAATTTGGACATTATGGGGCTCTCTGCCGCTCATCCTGCTCAGAAAGGTAAGCTGAGTAGCTTATTTGCCCTTCTTTAATGTATTGGAAGTGTTAAATGTAGTTGACAAGTTACTGAATTTACGAGCATTACATTTCTCATAACCTTTGCATGTTTTCCCTTGTGGTTTTTGTTTGTTTGTTTGTTTGTTTCTGTAGGCTGGGTAAAGTAAATGGCAAGGGTAGATAAGCTTGTATTTCATATGCAGATGAAGGTCCAGCAGTAGCAGAGACAGTAGTTCACTGAAAGTTAGGGCAAAGTTGCCCAGGAGCACTGGGATACTATTTAGGTCATTTTAGATGTGAAGTAGCTCCTCCTATTTTCCCGTTTCCACTACAGTGATATTGTAGTAGGCTGGTAGTGCTCAACTCTGCCCAGAGATGCTACTTGTGGGCTGATTTTTCCCAAGGAGATACTTGTTGTTTTAGTACAGTGCTAAGGACTTTTGTGTAAAATAAGCCAATGTAATGTTTTGACTCTGTTATACTGTATTCTAGTGTGAAAAATCTCAGGGCAGGGGCTGAACCCCCTCTCTTTTGCCCTAGTGCTGGAGCTGGTGATGCCCCAGCTGGAGGTTTTTGGAATAATTGATGTTTTTTCTCCAGGTATGGCTAACTTGCTGGGATCATTCATTTGCATTAACATCAGAAAATGTTTTATTCAGTGATGCTTTTAGAATTACAGCTCTAAATGGTCATCTACTCTATCAGGCTTCTGCACGCCGCTTAAGCGTTTCAACTCAGAGCTTTCCATTAAAATTAAATTGCTTTTGCTGTTAGTTTGGAATTGTTTTAGATGGATATTCTTTGTCAAGTAGTGTGCTGTGATTTTAAAATTCTGTCTAATTCCTTCTTTCATTGTTCACATCAGCCCAGAAATTGTAGCTGACATGAAGATGCAGTTCCACAAAGGCGATAGGCTGAGCTCATCTTGAAAGCCCAGTTTGGAAGCATGTTATTTGAAAGCACTGCGGGCTAAATTATACCCTTAGTATTTGCTTTAGGACTTGAGTTTACTGCATCTGCATAAAAGAGGGAATATAGAGTAAGTTTTGATTTTCGCTTAGGTTTATCGGTTATTTTAATGAGAGTAAAAAATAATGATGTAAATAAAGTGATAAGGATAATATTCGTGGTCCCCAGTAGAGTGAGGATTCTCCAGTTTTCTCAGACATTGAGTACTCAAACCTTTGGCATGGAGAGGCTCAAATTTCTTGTTTAGGGTTCAGTCTTCTCCTTGTGAAAGCAGCTTTTGGGCTTATCTGCCTGCACCTCTTCACGTGGGGGAGAGTGCAGGAAGGAGAAGCAGAGCACTCGCTGCTGCTGGAAGTGGGAGAGGCAGCAGGAAACAACTACTTTTGGAGGATATGTGCTTTCTTCTTTCAGCCTAGACTTGACGAAAGAAACCCAGACCCTTGCATTACCCAGATCTTCTCTCTGTATTGAGGCTTTTCTTTCTGGGAGCTAAGGAGTAGAAAACATTTTGGCAGTCAGTGCTGTACTTATATATTTGTAAAAAATAAGGGTAATGTTCTGATGGCTTCACTTAATGCTTTTTGGCAGAGAATGAAGTTTACTGAGTGAATTCTGCAGCTCACAAAATGAATACCATAAATACTGCCTTCCCAGGTTTGCATGTTGGCTCAAGAGTGTTCAGTATTAAACTCATTTGTCACCTATATCACAAGTCCTCTCTCAGGCAAGTTGTTCAGGAGCCTTGGGTTGTTAGGTGCAATAACTAAACGGAAATAACAGGGTGGCTTCCCAGAGTGGAAAGCAATGAGCAAATGTGAGAGAGGAGGGAGAAGTGTTTACATTAGAAGAATGTAGTGTTCCTAAGGGTCCATAGCCTGAACACACCTTGCAGACAAAGGATGATGGGGAAGCAAAGAAGAAAAATCTTTTCCCAAACTGGTATATAAAGTCAAACAGGAGCCAAGATTTCTGTCCATCCATCCCGTCACCTGCCAGCTAGACCTGACTGCTGGATCATCAGAAACCAGAGCAAGTCAAACCAAAATAGGGTTCTTTCCACACTGACTCTGCGAGGGTCTTCCCTTGGAAATAGTCTGCTGGCAATGAAAGGGGTTGTGGGTGTGCTTGAGTGAACAAAGAAGGTGAGTTCAGCATGCCACATTTCTGAAAATCAGAGTCCCTCTGTTCTCTGACACAGAATTTGAGAAAATGGGTTTCATGTAAAAACAAGAACCAGTAGATTTTCAAAGGATAAATGGAAATAGTTATTTGCACTGCACACTACTAGGTGGAGGAATAAACTACAGGAAGAAGCCATAATACCAAGGACAATAGCTAGATTTTTGAAAGGCCTGAATATTTCCTCAGAAACAAAGACTCAGATTAAAAACTTTAAAAGCCGAGTGATAGTATTTTAGTACTCTCACCTTTAGCTAAGCTGTTCTTCCTGTGAGGCACTCGCTTTCCAAGCCAAACCTCCAATAGCTGCACATTTTATTTTTTTTTTCCCTCAGTGTAAACTCCTGGTACTTGCTGCATCTTACTTGGTTCAACTGAAGGTGGTGAAGTGGGTCTGGAGATACTCACACTGGTATGGCCGAGCTTGTGCTTTCTGCTCTTGCTCGAGGATGCACTTGAGAATGCGACTGTGCGACTTCTGTGTTTGTGAAAC